AAAATGAGGTAAAATTAAAGTTTTAATTTGTTTGGACATGTTATGTTGTATTTTTGCTCATAAACATAAAAGTTCATAAGTTGTGAAATTCATTAAAATTGTCCAAATTATTTAAACAATCTTACCAAATAAGCAAAAGTTCATAATTAAAGTATAATATGTTACGAAGCTATTCTTAATAAAAGTACAATATTTATTGATGAACTTTAGTTCAATAAGAAAGTAAAATTGAACCTGAGTTGTAGTGTACTATATTTACCGAGTTATTTGTTTGTCAATATCCTTAGTAACTACATCGTGTTCCTGTTCTATGAATGTTTAATCACTCCTTTGATATTCTAATAAAAAAATAGGCCAAATACATAAACAGATCCCTAAACTTGTTGGGATTTTTCCCCTCAGGTACCTCAACTATGCTATTTTCCTATTGAATCATTGAACCACCCATAATTTGTTCCTTTTAAACAACGTGAGATCACGTTTGGTGCCACATTAGCCAACAGTGTTTAAAAGGAACAAATTATGGGTGGTTCAATGATTCAATAGGAAAATGGCGTAGTTGAGGTACCTAAGGGGAAAAACCCAACAAGTTTAGGGATTTGTTTATGTATTTGGCCAAAAAAATATGTAGATATAAAATAATGATCTTTTTTAACAAAATGTAAACTTGTAGGTCAATTTTTGTAAATGTAAAATCATGATATGAAATCTTTTTGGATAATTTGGAATTTCAGATGAAATTACATGTCCAAAAATGATTTTATCTCATAATATCAAATCATGAGATGGAATTGCATATCCAAACGCCTACTTAAATATCATTGAGAGTCCTCCTTCTATTTTTTATTTTTTATTTATTTATTTTTAAAAGGCAACCTAGTGGATAAAGCATCTCTCGTTCATCCAGTGAAAGGGCCACATTTCAAGAGTGTGTTATAGACAATTTATCTTGATAAAATTAATAATGATTACTTTCACGACTCAAATTCGTTACTAGGTCGCACAGAAAAAGTTTTGCTCACTAAATTAAACATTTAACTAATATAAAATAATTTATAACATAATGATTTTTCAAACTATTAATTTAATTTGATATTCTGCACCAAGTCGTCACCCATATTCCTTAGGTAAATGGTTCCTCTCGTTATGAATAGTTATTTTGGGATTGTTTAGTTGGGAACAAGTTATTTCATAATTAATTTTGGGATAAGTTATTTTTCACCGAGTATATGGATAACCTATTCCATTACTATGACGAAAAATGGTGGGCTAAATAATCCAAGGACTATCTAATACCTCCAGGCTCCAACCGAACATGGAACAAAATAATTCAATATTTTATCCTGAAATTATTATACCTTCTGGCTTCTACCTCATACCAAATACTCTTTATAATTATTATATCGTCGATGATCTGAATCCTGATAGCCTAATAATACTTTCATATTGTTAGCGTACAAAAGTTATAAAACTCTAAAAAAATAATTTAAAAAGAATTTAACCCAAGATCCATTTTTATATATATATATATATATATATATATATATATATAAGGCATATCAAATGACTAGTCAATTAGACAATAAAATGATTTTCTTTCTACTCTTTGTGGCTATTCCTATTTGCCTCATATTTCTTCTTCTTAAAGTCAAAAGGAGTGGTAAAAATAAGCTTCCACCAGGTCCTATAGGGCTTCCCTTCATTGGAAATTTGCATCAATTTGATAGTTTAGCCCCTCATATTTATTTTTGGAGACTTTCTAAGAAATATGGAAAAATCTTCTCATTCAAACTTACTTCTCATGTTTCAATTATTGTAGTTTCTTCAGCAAAATTAGCAAAAGAAGTACTCAAGACACAAGATTTAGTGTTTTGTAGTAGACCTTCTCTTTTTGGCCAACAAAAATTGTCTTACAATGGTCATGATATTGGTTTTGCACCTTACAATGATTATTGGAGAGAAATGAGAAAAATATGTGTTCTACATTTATTTAGTCTCAAGAAAGTGCAATTATTTAGTCCGATTCGTGAAGATGAAGTCTCAAGAATGATCAACAAAATATATCAACAAGCTGTTGATTCTCAAGTCACCAATTTGAGCAATTTGATGATTTCACTTAATAGTACAGTTATTTGTAGAGTTGCTTTTGGTGTTAGATTTGATGAAGAAGCACATGAAAGCAAGAGATTTAATTATATTTTGGCTGAAGCTGAAGCTATGTTGGCAAGGTTTTTTGTGTCTGATTTTTTTCCATCTTTAAGTTGGATTGATAAACTTACTGGACTGACAAATAGACTTGAGAAGAATTTTAAAGATTTGGATGAGTTTTATGAAGAACTAATTGAACAACATCACAATCCCAATAGGCCAAAATCCATGGAAGGAGATATTATAGATCGTTTGCTTCAATTGAAGAAAGAGCAATTAACACCAATTGATCTCTCTTTGGAGGATATAAAAGGCATTCTCATGGTAATTTCCCATTTCTTTAACCTATCTACTTGTATACATGCTCACACACACACACATATATAGAGAGAGAGACATTTACATGTACGTTTGTACATATGTAGAGAAAGATGACAAATGAGTGGCTAGGATTAAATACGAATGGCTTAACAATATAGATTATAATCTAATTCGCTCAAAATGTTTATGAGGCAATGTGTTAGAATTTAGATAGGAAAATGACGGGTCATAATTCAATTCGCTCAACACAACCTCATATCTTATTGTTTTTTGAAAAAAATGTGAAAGCTAATTTATTTTTCCTAAATTGTTAGCTAGCCCAAATTTGATTTTGCATGTATATTTGAGCTTGGATGATAATATAACCCATCTAGTTATACTTTTGTCTGTTTTAACCCAATAGTTTAACAAATGTTAATAGAGTGTTACTTACAAATATTTGTATTTATTATTGCCACTAAAATATAATATAACGACAATTATATATATTATTGCGGCTAAATATGCCTTGCAAATTTTCTCATGAATTGTCAATTTTTATGTAGAATGTGTTAGTTGCTGGATCAGACACTAGTGCATCGGTGATAATATGGGCTATGACAATCTTGATCAAGAATCCAAAAGCCATGAAGAAAGTTCAAGAAGAGATCAGAAATTTAATGGGGAACAAAAACATTGTAAATGAAGATGATATTCAAAATATGCCTTATTTCAAAGCAGTGATAAAAGAGACTTTAAGACTATTTCCACCAGTTCCACTCTTAATACCAAGAGAATCAATGAAAATATCCACACTAGAAGGGTATGAATTTCAACCAAGAACTATAGTTTATGTTAACGCATGGGCAATTGGAAGAGATCCTGAAATATGGGAAAATCCAGAAGAATTTATGCCTGAGAGATTCTTGAATAGCGATATTGACTTCAAGGGACAAGATTATGAGTTTATTCCGTTTGGAGCAGGAAGAAGAGGGTGTCCGGCCATGGCACTTGGGGTTGCATCTGTGGAACTTGCATTATCAAATCTACTTTATGCATTTGATTGGGAGTTACCTTATGGATTGAAAAAGGAGGACATTGACATAAATGGCAGGCCCGGAATCACTGTGAATAAGAAAAATGACCTTTGTCTTATCCCAAAAAAATATTTCTAAATTACATCCCAAAGTGAATTTAAGGGTAGTTTTTGAAGTAAGCTGAATTCATCAATTGCTTTTCAACACGAATTATGTACTATTCAGTTAACCTTAACTAGACAGGAATAATGAACTACAAAAGTGATAGTATTATGGCGGTTTTAATACACAGTTATTAAAAATTGCCATAATACATATGTATGCCGTTGTTAAGTCGTCATCCTTAAAATGACGATTTAGCATATAATATTACAGTTTTTAATTATCATATAGTTTTTCAAGATATTCTCTTGGTTTATCTTGAAAAGCTCGATACATCTCTCTCTTTAACTCTCACAATTATATATATAATGTGGAACATTAAAATAGTCGGGTATAGGGAGACTTTTGATTTTCTCAAGAATAATATAAGCTTAATAACAATAATTTATTTTTTGAGTCATCGTAAATAATAGTTATGTTTACTACGTTCAAAATCGTAAGAATATTTATACTATTATCCCTTAAAAAGTTTGTTACAGAATTTTAAACTTTCCTTGAAATTTTCAAAGAACTTGTTATATCACATGTGTTAACTAGAATTTTTACATTTTGTAATCCATTTTCTATAATTAAGTTCACTATAGAAATACCACTAGAATGATATCTAAACATATTTCGTGCTTATAAATATAATTGCTTCAAAATAATGTTACGTTCCTTCAATATATCACCAATTATTGGTAGAATTCAAAATGTTAGTTGTATTCATATACTTTATTACATTTCGCTTAAAATCTCTTTTAATATACGGCGAATTTATAAATAATTGAGAACCACATGTTCTATTATCCCTACTAGATATCTATTCATTCACCTTTGATATCTAAGTTATGCACACAAATATCTTGAAAATTAAAGGCAAATTCAGAATTTTGTGTATCGCATAATATTTTTACTGTTTATATGGTCCAATAATATTGATTGCTAGAGGATAAAGGTCATTTTCAATCTTCAGTGGTTTTATAATTTTTGTGTTGTCACTTTATAGGTAAATAGTCTATCCTATAGTGACTATTTCCACGGTTCGATCTCTCACAAAAAAAATAAAAATTACTCATTTAAAAATTAACTAATATAACTAATTTATTAATAGCATAACAATTTTTTACGCTATTAATTTAATTAAAAATTATGTAGCAAATTGTAGATCTTATTTCCTAGTAAATGGTTCCTCTCGTTATGAATAGTTACTTATAGTTATTATATCTTCGATGGCCTGATGGTCTAGAAATACTTTTATATTTTCAGTATATAGAAGTTACGAAAGCTCCTAAAGAAATAGTTTATCCCAAAGACCATTTATATTTATATATATATAAGGCATATCAAGTGACTAGGCAACTAGACAGTAAAATGATTTTCTTTCTACTCTTTGTGGTCATTCCTATTTGCCTCGTCTTTCTTCTCCCTAAAGTCAAAAGGGGTAGAAAAAATAAGCTTCCACCAGGTCCTATAGGGCTTCCATTCATTGGAAATTTGCATCAATTTGATAGTTTAGCTCCTCATATTTATTTTTGGAAACTTTCCAAAAAGTATGGAAAAATATTATCATTGAAACTTGCTTCTGTTCAAATTGTTGTAGTTTCTTCAGCAAAATTAGCAAAAGAAGTACTCAAGACACAAGATTTAGTATTTTGTAGTAGACCTTCTCTTGTTGGCCAACAAAAATTATCTTACAATGGTCATGATATTGGTTTTGCACCTTACAATGATTATTGGAGAGAAATGAGAAAAATATGTGTTCTTCATCTATTTAGTCTCAAGAAAGTGCAATTATTTGGTCCGATTCGTAAAGATGAAGTCTCAAGAATGATCAAGAAAATATATCAACTAGCTGTTAATTCTCAAGTCACCAATTTGAGCAATTTGATGATTTCACTTAATAGTACAATTATTTGTAGAGTTGCTTTTGGTGTTAGATTTGATGAAGAAGCACATGAAAGGAAGAAATTTGATTATATTATGGTTGAAGCTGAAGCTATGTTGGCAAGCTTTTTTGTGTCTGATTTTTTTCCATCTTTAAGTTGGATTGATAAACTCACTGGACTGACATATAGACTTGAGAAGAATTTCAAAGATTTGGATGATTTTTTTGAAGAACTAATTGAACAACATCACAATCCCAATAGGCCAAAATCCATGGAAGGAGATATTATAGATCTTTTGCTTCAATTGAAGAAAGAGCAATTAACACCAATTGATCTCTCTTTGGAGGATATAAAAGGAATTCTCATGGTAATTTCCCATTTCTTTAACCTATCTACTTCTACACGCTCTCTCTCTCTCTCTCTCACACACACACACACACATATATATATACACACACATATAGACATTTTTATGTACGTTTGACATATGTAGAGAAAGATGACAAATGAGTGGCTAGAATTAAATACGAATGGCTTAACAATATAGATTATAATCTAATTCACTCAAAATGTTTATGAGGCAATGTGTTAGAATTTAGATAGGAAAATGACGGGTCATAATTCAATTCGCTCAACACAACACAACCTCTTATCTTATTGTTTTTTGAAAAAAATGTGAAAGCTAATTTATTTTTCCTAAATTGTTAGCTTGCCTAAATTTGATTTTGCATGTATATTTGAGCTTGGATGATAATATAACCCATCTAGTTATACTTTTGTCTGTTTTAACCCAATAGTTTAACAAATGTTAATAGCGTGTTAATTACAAATATTTGTATTTATTATTGCCACTAAAAATATAATATAATTACAATTATATATATTATTGCGGCTAAATATTGCCTTGAAAATTTCTCATTAATTGTCAATTTTTATGTAGAATGTATTAGTTGCTGGATCAGACACTAGTGCATCTGTGATAATATGGGCCATGACAATCTTGATCAAGAATCCGAAAGCCATGAAGAAAGTTCAAGAAGAGATCAGAAATTTAATTGGGAACAAAGACATTGTAAATGAAGATGATATTCAAAATATGCCTTATTTCAAAGCAGTGATAAAAGAGACTTTAAGATTATTTCCACCAGTTCCACTCTTAATACCAAGAGAATCAATGAAAATATCCACACTAGAAGGGTATGAATTTCAACCAAGAACTATAGTTTATGTTAACGCATGGGCAATTGCAAGAGATCCTGAAATGTGGGAAAATTCAGAAGAGTTTATGCCTGAGAGATTCTTGAATAGCGATATTGACTTCAAGGGACAAGATTATGAGTTTATTCCGTTTGGAGCAGGAAGAAGAGGGTGTCCAGCCATGGCACTTGGGGTTGCATCTGTGGAACTTGCATTATCAAATCTTCTTTATGCATTTGATTGGGAGTTACCTTATGGATTGAAAAAGGAGGACATTGACATAAATGGCAGGCCTGGAATTACAGTGAATAAGAAAAATGACCTTTGCCTTATCCCTAAAAAATATTTCTAAATTACATCCCAAAGTGAATCTAAGGGGAGTTCTTGAAGTAAGGGATCAATTTATTTCGACTCGAATTAATCACTTTGTCGTATAAAGGATTGTTTCTTTGTGCTTTGACAATGGGCTTTTGAAGGATTATTCTGTAATTGAATGATAATAAGTCAATTTCATTGATTGTGAATGCATTTTATATATGTAGCTTATCTTGATCTCAACATGTACAACTTTTTATCTCCACTTTTGTCTTGTAGTTCTTCGTACAAACGTTCACATATGTTGTCATTTAACAGCTAACTTCGTTACCTTATATCTATCCCCATTTGCCCTCATAACTTCGACAATAGTGATCAAGCACATCATTTAATCCTCGGTAGGTCATACAAAGGTTTCTTCTTCCTCTTATTCTCTAAAATCCATTATTAAGAGTTTATGTTGAATTGTAAAGTACTCACTCAGAATAACTTTGTTGTTCTTACATATATACTTTTTCACACTTTTGAAGGAATAAGTAATATAGTTGAATCTTAGCCATCATGCTACAAAAAGCCACCAAGCGTCCTTATTTTATTTTTTTTGAAAAACCCGAATTAGCTATCTTCAAATTAAAAGTTTTAACGAAGTTCAAAAGCAAAACTCCTCCTTCATTTCTATCCCCAAAATCAAAAGGATAAATTTCAGAAATATACGAATCTTCAGCCCAAAACAAAATTCAATATACAATATACAATATTATACATCCGATATACAACAATATATAAATTTTTCATATTTTATTTTTTTACAAATATGATTAAAAACTTGATATAAACTATTATAGACTCAATATATAATATTATAAAAAATCATAAAAGGTATTTATACACCTCATATACAATATTATACATTATTATACAAAAAAAGGACTTTGTTTTCTTCCTCAAATTCATTCAAAAACTACACCAAATTACCCAAAATTTCATATTTAGGCTCCTCACTACCTAACAAATCTCTTGCAACAATACCCTCTCGAAACGATGTTTATTTGCAAAAAATTAATTTTAAAAATTTTAAGCTTCGAGCTTCAACAATGACTGCTTATGACTTTAACGAAATGTTAATAGTACTTCATAGTAACTCCAATTACGGAGATAAAACAATGACTTAATATGTAAATTTCTTAAAAAATAAGCACAATTACTAATCACTCTATTATATATATAGGACCATTCATTTCACTTCGAAGAACAAGCAAAGCAAACAAATTAGTCAATTACCGCCATCACCACCACTATAGTAGCTATCTTCATTGAAGAAGCCGCCTTCCATTAGTAATCGGCAAATAAAATCACATCGGAAAATTTCAAAGATGAATTAGAGAATGAAATGTGGAAAAAAGAGAATGTATTTTTTGTGCGTAGGAAAGAGAAATAAAAAAGAGATATCAATAAGTTAGTGGTTAAATTTGCTAAAGTTCAAATAATCATGGCCTATTTTGATACTCCCTATGTTCCTAATTAATTGTCTACTTTTGAATTGACACACATATTAAAAAAATGGAAAAGGGTCAAAATTGCCCCCGAACTATATGAAATAGACCATTTATACCCTTCGTTACATTTTGGGATAAAAAATGCCCCTGCTGTTATCCTAAGAGACCACAAATACCCTCAAGAGTTAACACCCCAAATTTTTGTTGACGTGGCAAGCCACGTGGGACTAATCCTTCCACCTAAGCGTTGCCAACTAGGATTCACTACAAAAGAACTAGACCTTTAGCGGCAAAACAGTCGCCACAAAAGCCCAGAAAATCGTCACTAAAAGTTTTTAACATTAAATTCTAATTTTGTGTTTTTTTCTTCATTGTTTTTAAAAAACCAAATATGATATCGATTAAGTAGGAGTTTGAAGACACTAGATGTTTTATTTTTATGTCATATGTAAATGTATAAAATGTACAATGACGCATTATATATTTATATATAGTAGGAGATTTGAATCGAGAAGTAATTTTGATTATTTTTCGTAATAATATTGGATGTTTTTAATATGGATATTGCAAGTTATTTATTTTAGAAAATTAGGTCACAATCGAAAATTAATTATCATATTTTTTTGTTGAAAAAATAGGTTTTACTAGCGAATGGTTGTTGGAGCCTTAGTCGCCACTAAAAATCACTCATAACCTTTAGTGGCAATATTTTGGGATTTTGTGGCGACTTTGTCGCCACTAAAAGTCAAGTTCTTTTGTAGTGAATCTTAGTTGGCAATGCTTAGGTGGAGGGATTAGTCCCATGTGGCTTGCCACGTCACTAAAAAATTGGGGTGTTAACTCTTGAGGGTATTTGTGGTCTCCTGGGATAACTGCGGGGGTATTTTTGATCCCAAAATGTAATGGAGGGTATAAGTGGTCTATTTCGCATAGTTCAGGGACAATTTTGACCCTTTTCCATTAAAAAAATAATGATTGGTATAGTGAGTTTACCATTTTACTCCAATTAATTACGAAGTGGATGAATTATAAATTTAAAGATTTTCAAAAAGTTCTACCTTTTTCAAATTTAATTAATTGAGATTTGAAAGGATAATAGGTAATATTTTTTATTTTTTTTTATGATTTGTCAAAACAGACAAGTAAAAAAGGAAAATTAAACAAGTAATTAGGAACAGAAAAGTAATATTTTTGAATTAATTGTACTTTCAATTATCTTAACAAAAAATGCCATGTACTGAACATAACCCTCTGAAGTTGTCCTGAGGGGTAAAAAACGACATATAAAATAAGATATTATCTATAATAAATAATATTTATAATTTAATAACTTAGAAAATAAAGTAAATAATCTGTTTTAGTAGGCAGAATAAATTGATACTCTTCGTCTTACCATAAAACTGTATGTATGATACATAATATAGTTTAAGGACTTCCTCCGTTTTATATTATGATCTATGTTGACTTGATATATATATATATATATATATATATAATAAGATATTATCTATAATAAATAATATTTATAATTTAATAACTTAGAAAATAAAGTAAATAATCTGTTTTAGTAGGCAGAATAAATTGATACTCTTCGTCTTACCATAAAACTGTATGTATGATACATAATATAGTTTAAGGACTTCCTCCGTTTTATATTATGATCTATGTTGACTTGATATATATATATATATATATATAAATAATTTTTCTAATTAAAAGTGTATTTTACTAAACTAATTTTATTAATGAAACTTTGGAACTCTAAATTTGGCTACTACAACTTCATGTAATTATCTAATACCATTGTATTTATATTGTATTGTATTGTTAGTTTAAATACAACGTTTGTTTTTATTGTTACTTGAATTTTATATATTGTATCATTAAATTCATCGTTATGTAACGATAAAAAGTCTCATTTTGTGTTACGACCGATTTAGTGCGATCACGTCGTTATCTTAATTTTTTCCTCTCATTTTGTCTTTACTTATTATTTAATAATTCTATTTTATCCTTTATCCTACCATTTTATAGTAGTTTTATCATATACCCTACGTTCATTGTAGGTTTAAATTATTGATGTATGATATTATGTAATGACAACAAACGATACAATTTATCTAAGTGGTAGTATATCTATTAAAAAATAATCCAATACAAGCAATCTAATATATTATGAAACGATACATAACAATCATCCAAATAAAATAGAAGGACAATATGAACAAGTATATATATATATATATATATAAAGAACAAGCAAATTAAAATATTTAATTTGTACTATATAAATGCCAACTAAAATGAAACAAAGAGGGTATTTTTTTTTCAAGAGAAATAAATTCCCATTTATAAGTACATAGAAATTTCAAAGCTTACCATTTTCTTTTTATTTTTTACTTAGTGTTCAATATTCATATTTGAGCCCAACTAAATTTAAATTTACATAAAAAAAAATCTCATATTAAAAATAAAATGGCTCTTAACAAAAGTTATTTTGTCACGAGAGAACTCGAAAGCTCACCTAATGTTATGATTTATTTATATAAAATTTATATCCCACCCTGTTATGCATCTGTCCACCATTGTCAACTAAATATTAGCCCCCTTTTTTATTTGCTCTCTCTGTTGAATATACTAATTCATTTGTTTATTCTTCTATTCCTTCATTTGCACTACTCTTTTTTCTCATTTCCGATCAATTTCTTCTTCTTCTTCTACAAAAATAGAACAAAGTCTTCAAGAGCAAAGGGGCAAAAAAAGATGGGTATTATGCCAAGAAACAGAGGTGGGGAAGGAGGAATAGTAGCTGTTGATATGTTAAGCGAAAGAGCAACAATGATGAGAGAATCAGTACAGAAAAGTCAGTCAATTACAGATAACATGGTTTCTATATTGGGTTCTTTTGACCATCGTCTTTCTGCTCTTGAAACTGCTATGCGTCCCACTCAGGTAAACCCTTTTTGTGATTTTGCTTGTTTCAATTGAAGATCCCATGTTCTTGAATTGGATCTAGTTTGTGCTACCAAGAATATTTGGTGCCAATTCTGATGGAGAAAAATGGAAAGAAAGGAACTTTTAGTTTAAAGTTTGGATATGTTAGTAGAAAAGAGTGAATATGAGAAAATTGAGAACAAAGTATGATCCAGGCTTTGTGAAATACAGATTTGAACTTGGAACCTCAAGGTGAGTTCTGAACCCTTAAACCACTGAGGTGACCTGTAGTCTTGTGTTTAGGAGATTGATAATCTATGTATGCATAATAAAAATGTAAGTTTTTGATGAGGGGCTTCAGGTGAACACCCTCAAGCCCTCTTAGACCCGTTCTTGGAGTTGTTGTTGATTTGTTTTTTTTGGGGGTGGAGGCGGGGGTTCTTTATTTTGGTGGGAACTAAAGTGATTCTTGCTTGATACAGTTGATAGGATCTGAATGTTGAAAGAGATGAGATTTGGGTTTGTTTAGCATTTCATGATTTCCATTTTGAGCCAATTGGGCTGATTGAAAGTTCTTACAACTAACTAATGTTCCTGATGGAGAAAAATGGAAAGAAAAGAACTTTTAGTTCAATTTTTTAATATGTTAGTAGAAAAGAATGAATATGAGAAAATCGAAAGCTAAGTGTGAGTTTTGTTGATTTTTCTTCCTTTTTTTTGGGAAGAGGGGGTGGGGGTTTATACTTGACTTGGGAACTAAAGTTATTCTTGGTTGATAGGATGAAATTTGGTTTTGTTTGTCAT